GAAATCAGTCTTCCTCATTTCAAGACTTAAGATGTAGCTACAATAATCAAGACTGTAGTATGTACAGCGGAGAGGAGACATAAGCTAATGGAATAGAATAACACAAAAACAGACCCACACAAACATGAACAACTGATTTTTGACAAAGGTACAAAAGCAATTAAATGGAGAAAAGAAAGGCAGCCTTTTCAACAAAAGGTAGTTAAGTAAGTAGATATACTTAAGTTAAAAAAAAAAGGAACCTCAACAGAAATTTCCTAACTTATATAAAAACTAACTTAAAATAGATCATGGGCTTAGATATAATACAAAACCATAGATTTTTTTTTTTAATAGAAGACAATCTTTGATATCTACGTAGAACTAGGCAAAGAGGTCCTAGATTCAACACCAAAGCATGATCCATAAAAGGAAAAACTACTATATTCGACCTTATCAAAATTAACTTTGTCCTGTGCAAAAAAAACACTGAAGGGAGGAAAAGACAGCCTACAAACTGGGAGAAAAAATTTCAAAATATTTGACAAAGGACTAATATCTAAAATATATAAAGAACTTTCAAATTTAACATTAAAAAATAAATAATCCCATTAGAAACTGGACAAAAGATGAGAAACATTTGACCAGAGTGGATATATAAATGGCAAATAAGTACATGAAAAATGTCCAACATCATTACCCATCAGAAAAATGTGAATTAAAACCACAATGAGGGACACCTGGCTGGCTCAAGTTGGTAAAGCATTTGACTCTTGATCTCAGGGTCATGAGTTTGAGCCCCAGATTGAGTGTAGAGATTATTTTTTTAAAATAATATTTAAATAAAATAAATAAAACCACAATGAATTAGAATGGTTACAATTTAAAAACGGTGACAAAACCAAATGCTGCCAGGGATATAGAGAAATTCGATCACTCATACATTGCTTGTGGGAATGTAAAATGGTACACACACAGTGAAAAAGTCTGTCAATTTACTAAAGAAATGAAACATACAATTACCATATGACCTAGCAATATCATTTCTGTGAATTTATCCTATAGAAAGGAGGACTTGGGTCCACAGAAAAAGCTTTAATACACAAATATTTCCCACAGCCTTATTTGTAATACCCCAAAATTAGAAATAAGCCAGATGTCCTTCAACAGGTAAATGGTTAGATAAACTATGATACATCCATACCATGGAATACTTATCTGCAATAAAAAGGAACTGGACCATTGTTATCACAACCTGCATGAATTCCCAGAGAATTACGCTGAATGAAAAACGCCAATCAGAAAAGGTTATACACTGTATTATTCCATGTATATAATATTTTTGAAAGGATAAAATTACAGAAATGGAAAACAGATTAGTGGTTGTCAGGGGTTAAAAAAGGAGTGAGGGCTTTGAGAAAGACATGGTCACAGCTACAGGAGAGATAAGGTCCACAGTCTCCTGCTTCTGACTCACCACTGTTCACGCTTGCCCAGGAACAAGTTGGTCTGGAAGCCACATAACAGCCATGGTTTTGAAAAAATACTATAAAGACATCTGTGGAACTGGAGGTGTTGACACACCAAATTAGAATTACCTTAACCAGTCACAGTGTAAAATCTCTGGATAAGGTATATGCTCAAAGAAAAAAAGAACCAGTTCAGATGCCTACTAGGACTCAGAATCAGTATAAGAAAAACTCCTTAGGCTGGAGAATCTAAGATGATTTTTTTTTTTTTTTAAGATGAGGATCCATAAGGGACTCACTGACTCCCACAGTCCTTCTGAAACTGTTAAACCGATTACTTCCATCAGTATTTAACCAGGAGTTAAGGTTGAAGTCACCACTGCAGGTATTATCAATTATTTTAATAAATTGATTATCGGTTGTTTGAAAATAAAGGAAGGGGTGAGGATGGGTGGGAGGAAAATGAATATAGCTATAAAACTTCAACATGAGGGATCCTACTGGTAATGGAAAGTTCTACATCCTGACTGAATCAATGTCAATTTATTACTATAGTGGGTTTTCTTTTAGATTTTTTATTTATTCATTTGAGAGAGACCAAGCGAGAGCATGAGCAGGGGGAGGGTCAGAGAGAGAGGGAGAAGCAGACTCCCCGCTGAGCAGGGAGCCTGATGTGGGGCTTTGATCCCAGGACGCTGGGATCATGACCTGAGCTGAAGGCAGATGCTTAACCAACTGACTCACTCAGGTGCCCCAGAAAGTACTACAGTTTTACAAGAGGTTGCCATTGGGAGAAGTGCTCAAGTGTACAAGGATATCTTTTTCTACTATTTCTTACAGCTGCATATGAATCTATAATTATCTCTAAATAAAAAGCTTAATTTAAAAAAAAACCTGGGGGCGCCTGGGTGGCTCAGGCGTTAAGCGTCTGCCTTTGGCTCAGGTCATGATCCCAGGATCCTGGGATCTAGCCCCACATCGGGCTCCCTGCTCTGTGGGAAGCCTGCTTCTCCCTCTCCCACTCCCCCTGCTTGTGTTCCCTCTCTCGCTGGGTCTCTCTCTGTGTCAAAATAAATAAAATCTTAAAAAAAAAAAACCTGTAAAGACTTCTCTAGCTTCCAGATTTCAGTTCTAATTCTTCAATATGGTTTACAAGGTGAATCATAAACAGGTACCTCCTCTACCTCTCTAGCTTTGTGTCTCTTCATCTTCCCCTACCTCTTACAATCTTCCACCCACTCCATCTCCCTCCATCCATACTGAACTCATTTTAGCTCATAAAACGGCTGTTCTTTCACTATCCTCTGGATCTTTGCCTATGTTGTTCCTTCTGCCTAGAACATCTTAGTTGCTGTTCCTTCAACCCCTTTTGTTGACACTACCTTGTTTTCAGGCTTTAACACAGATGTTACTTTGTAGGCTGCATAGTAAATTAGTGGTATTTATCACAATGTAGGGGAACTGCCAGGCCCATACCTCACTCTAACATGTGAGCACTTCTAGAGGGCACAGACCTTGCCCCACTTGTTTATCTTTAATCTCTAGGTCCTAGCATAGTGACTGGGTCCTAGCTAGTGACTGATCACATAGTAGGTGATCAGTAAAGATATGATGAATGAGTGAATCTGGACTCCCAAAAAACCTGGTCTTGACTACTCATTTGACTGCAGGAAAATCTTTTAGTCTTGTTGCACCTGGGTTTCCTTATTTACAATATAGAAATATAGAATGTGACAATTTTAAAACTTGGCTACAATATTCTTGACCCCTCTCCAAATGAAAGTTAAGAGTCTATATCCCAATCCCTAGAATACGGGCTGTGTGACTGCTTGTCCAAATGTCACGACAATTCCAACTAAAGTTGACTCCTCGATAACACAGGGGTTGGGGCACTGACACCCCCAGCACAATAAAAAATCCACATATAACTTTTGATTCCCTAAAAACTTAACTACTAATAGCCTAAAGCTGACTGGAAGCCTTACCTTCCCAGTAACATAAACAATTAACACATATTTTGTATATGTACTATATACCATATTCTTACAATAAAGTAAGGCAGAGAAAAGAAAATGCTATTAAGAAAATTCTAAGGAAGAGCAAACACATTTACAGTACTGTACAAAATCTGCGTTACCCACAGTAAGTAGACCCATACAGTTTAAACCCTTGTTGTTCAAGGATCAACTGTATATGACATTCTGGAAAAGGCAAAATTATAAAGTTCTAACAGTAAAAAGATCATGGTTGCCAGGGGTTGGGGGGAAAGAAAGGGATAAACAGAACACAGGATTTTTAGGGCAGTGAAACTATTCTATATGATAATGTAATGGTAGATACACATCATTATGTATTTGCCAAAATCCATTAAATGTACAACAGCAAGAGTGAACCCTAATGTAAACTATGGACTTTGGGTGACGTTGCTTCATCCACTATAACAAATTTACCACTCTGGTGCAGGATATTGATTGTTGGGGAGGCTGTGCATATGTGGGGACAGGGGCAGATGGAAAATCTATACTTTCTGCTCAATTTTGCTGTGAACCTGAAACTACTATAAAAATTAAAGTCCTTAAAAAAAAAAAGTTCAAAAAAGATCATGGCAGAATGATGCTGTGTCAATTTTCAGGCTCAGGTTTTAAGAAACTGGCAACTTCCATTTTGTCCCTTGTAAGAGGTTTGCTCATAGAACCCAGGTACTAAGCTATAAGGAGCTCATACAGACTATCTCATAAGGACTCTGGCCTCCAGCCCTCAGTCTATCACTAAGCTTCCAGCCAATAGCCAGCACCAAATAGCCAGTTAATGATGCATTTTGGGAAGTGGATCAGACAGCCTCCAGTTGAGTAAACACCTTATGAAAAGAGCCTTCCCCTCTGAGTTCTGCCTAAAGTTCAGATTCATTAGCTAAATAAATGACTGCTATTGTTTTAATAAATAAATAAAAGGGGCGCCTGGGTGGCACAGTCAGTTAAGCATCTGACTCTTGGTTTTGGCTCAGGTCATGATCTCAGGGTCATGAGACTGAGCCCTACATCGGGCTCAGTGCAGAGTCTGCTTGAGATTCTTTATCCCTCCTTCTCTGCTCCTCCTGCTCATGCTTTCTAAAATAAATAAATAAATCTTTAAAGTTAAATTAAATCAAAAAATAAAATAATAAACAAATAATAAATGATCAACTGAACTGAATGATGCCCTTTTTTAATAAACTGCTCATTATCAAGTATATTACTTATTTAAGTAATTAAAATTAAAAGGCTAATATTTGAAAATTGGAAACTTTGATATTAATCAACCCCAAAGCATTTTAGTCCTAAAGCAGTCTATTATTTTAATACTTACATACAATCATTAATCTCTTCTTCCTGCTTGAAAGCAAGAGTATTTACAGTTGGCACTAAAGATTAAACCACAGAGAATTCCTATTATTTGCTGGTAGACAAAACATAGCTTTTTCCATTAAACTTCTAGTTTATTAGAGTGGTATTTCAAACAAAGGCCCAGTGCTTAAAACAAACACAGAATAATGGTATTTAGTGAAATACATACTTCCATACAATGTAAACTTCATATATCAGAGCAAAGTGATTCCATATTATCACCTAATATGAATGCTTCAATGACACACACTTCTGCCTCGGGTTTTTCAATAAAAATGGCAACCTCTCTGAAAAATAAACCAGAAAACGCCTTTAGAAATTACTAGGTTCCAGATGCACTTGTTCTCATTTTTAACTAAGAAACTTTACACAGCAAAACTAACCAAAAAGTAGAGTTACCATATACCCATAATCCCTCCACCCATGCACATACAGCTTTCCCTACTATCAATATCCACATCAGTGTGGTACTTTGTTACAAAGGACAAATCAATACTGACACATCATTATTAACCAAAGTCTATAGTTTACATTATGGTTCATTCTTGTTGTACATTCTATAAGTTTTGTCAAAAGTATAAACAACATGTATAGTTACACTGCTCTAAAACCTCTTGTGTTCTACCTCTTCATCTCTCCCTCCCTCCCCCACCAAAACAATCTATAAATGTCAATTAGATCTAGTTAACTGATTGACCTGTTTGGCTCAACTATGTCCTTATTGATCGTCTAACTGTTGGATTTGTCTATTATGAATAGCAGGGTGTTGAAGTCTCCCAACTACAATAGTGGATTGGTCTATTTCTCCTTGCAGTTCTACAACTTTCTGCTTCATGTATTTTGACAATGTGCTGCTAGGTGCATACATGTTGAGGAAGATGTCCTTAACATCTTCTTGAAGATTTGACCCCTTTATTATTATGTAATGTCCCTCTTTATCCATAACAATTTTCCTTGCTCTAAAGTCTACTTCGGGGTGCCTGGGTGGCTCAGTCAGTTAAGCATCTGCCTTCAGCTCAGGTCATGATTCCAGAGTCCTGGTATAGAGTCCTGCACTGGGCTCCCTGCTCAGGGGTGAGCTTGCTTCTCCCTCTCCCTCTGCCTGCCACTCCCCCTGCTCATCCTCACTCTCTCTATATATATATCAAATAAATAAATAAAATCTTAAAAAATAAATAAACGCTGGGGTGCCTGGGTGGCTCAGTCAGTTAAGAGCCTGCCTTCGGCTTGGGTCATGATCCCAGGGTCCTGGGATCGAGCCCTGCATCGGGCTCCCTGCTCAGTGGTGAGTCTGCTTCTCCCTCTCCCTCTGCCCCACCCCCCCTCTTGTGCTCTCTCTCTCAAATACATAAAAAAAATCTTAAATAAATAAATAAATAAATAAACTCTGCTTTATCTGAATTAATATAGCGACTCCAGTTTTCATTTGATTAGTGTTATCATGATATATCTTCCTCCATCTTTTTACTTTTAATCAATATGTGTCATATTTAAAATGGGTTTCTAATAGTCAACATACAGTTGAGTCTTGTTTTTTTCATCTACTCTAATAGTCTCAGTCTTTTAATTGGTGTAAAACACATATGGTATAAAAACTGATACAACTGCAAAGAGAAATACATGAATCCACTATTATAGTGGGAGAATTAAACACCCCTCTATTGGTAATTAAAAGATCCAGTACGCAGAACACAGTTTAAATAAACAATACTATCAACTGGATCTAATTGACATCTATAGAGTACTTCATCCAACAACAGCACGATACACATTCTTCTCAACCTCACACAGAACACTGACCAAGATAGACCACATTCTCAGCTACACAACACACCTTAATACATTTAAAAGAATAGATATACATGTCTGGGGTGCCTGGATGGCTCAGTCAGTTAAGCACCTGCCTTCCGCAGAGGTCATGATCTCAGGATCCTAGAAGAGAGCCCTGTGTTGGGCTCCCTGTTCAGCAAGGAGTCTGCTTCTCCCTCTCCCTCTACCCACCCCCCACTTCCGGCTCATACTCTCTCGCTCTCAAATAAATAAATAATAATCTTTTTTAAAAAAAGAAATCATACATGTCTGCTCTCAGACAACAACAGAATTAAACTAGAAATCAGTAACAGAAAGGTAGCTGAAAAATCCCAAAATAGTTGGAAATTAAATAACACACTTTTATTTAAGATTTTATTTATTTGAGAGAGAAAACACAAATGAGAGAGAGAGTTCATGCGAGCAGGGGGCAGGGGGAGAAGGAAAGGACAAGCAGACTCTGGGCTAAGCACGGAGCCCGATGTGGGGCTTGATTCCAGTACCCTGGAATCATGACCTGAGCTAAAGGCAGACACTTAACTGACCGAGCCACCCAGGTGCCCCAAATAACACACTTTTAAATAACACATATGTCAAAGAAATACCAAAAGAAATTTTAACATATTTTAAACAAATTTAAAATGAAAATACCTAATTTGTGGGATATAATGAAGGCAAGTGTTACAAAGAAATTTATAGCACTGAATACATATATTAGAAAAGAAGAAAAATCTGAATGAATCATCTAAACTTTCACTTTAGGAAACTAGAAAAAGAAGAGCAAATTAATCCAAAGTAAGCAGAAGAAAAGAAATAATAAAAATTAGAGCAAAAATCAATGAAATTGAAAGCAGGAAATCAACTGAGGAAATGAATTAAACCAAAAGCTGGTTCTTCAAAAAGATCAATAAAAGTAATAAACCTCTAGCCAGGTAAATTAAGAAAAAGAAGAAGAAATAAATTACTAACATTAGAAAAGAAAGACGGGCCATCATTAACGACCCCATGGACATTAAAAAGATAATAAAGGACTATTATGAACAACTATATGCCTACAAATTTGATAACCTGGAAGAAATGGAACAGTTTCTGGAAACTCACAGTCTACAAAAACTCAGGAGAAATGAATCATCTGACTGGGCCTTCGTCTATTAAAGAAACGGAATCAATAATTAATAACTTTCCAAAACAGAAAGTACCAGGTCCAGATCGGTTTACTGGTGAGTTTCACCAAACATTTAAGGAAGGAATTATACCAATTTTCTACACTCTTTCAGAAAATAGAAGCAGAAGGAATAGGGCACCTGTGTGGCTCTGTTGGTTAAGCATCTGCCCTTGGCTCAAGTCACGACCCCAGTGTCCTGGGATCGAGTCCTGCATGGGGCTCCCAGCTCCACGGGAAGCCTACTTCTCCCTCTGTCTCTGCTTCCCTCTCTCTGTGTGTCTCTCATAAATAAATAAATATAATATTTTTTTTAAAAGAAGCAGAAGGAATACTTCCAAACTCATTCCATGAGACAAGCACTATTCTAATACCAAAACCAGACAAAGATGTTATAAGAAAAACAGCCATAAACTAGTATCTCTCATGAACATAAATACAAAAATCCTCAACAACCTATTAGCAAATCGAATCCAGTAATGTCTAAAAAGATTTATACATCACAACCAACTGGGATTTATGCAAGGATGGTTCAATATTCAAAATTCAATTAATGTAATCCATCATATCAACAGGCTAAAAAAGAAAAATTACATGTTCACATCAATAGATGCAGAAAAAGCAGCAAAAAATGCTGACAAGGATATGGAATAACAAGAAATCTTACTCATTACAGGTAGAAATGCAAAATGGAATATCCACTTTAGATGACATTGGCAGTTTCTTACAAAACTAAACATATTCTTTTTTTTTTAAAGATTTTTTTATTTGACAGAGACATAGCGAGAGAGGGAACACAAGCAGGGGGAGTAGGAGAGGGAGAAGCAGGCTTCCCCACGGAGCAGGGAGCCCGATGCGGGGCTCGATCCCAGGGTCCCGGGATCACGACCTGAGTCGAAGGCAGACGCTTAACAACTGAGCCACCCAGGCGCCCCTAAACATATTCTTACCATACAATCCCGCAATCACACTCCTTGGTATTTAACCAAATGAGTTAAAAGCTTATATCCAAACAAAAACTTAAACATGGATTTTTTTTTTTTATTTGACAGAGAGAGACACAGCAAGAGAGGGAACACAAGCAGGGGGACTGGGAGAGGGAGAAGCAGGCTTCCCGTGAAGCAGGGAGCCCAATGTGGGGCTCGATCCCAGGACCCCAGGATCATGACCTGAGCCGAAGGCAGACGCTTAACAACTAAGTCACCCAGGCGCTCCTACACATGGATATTTATAGCAGCTTTAATCATAACTGCCAGAGCCTGGAAGCAACCAAGATGTCTTTTAGTAGGGGAATGACTAGATAAACTGTAGTATATCCAGACAATGGACTATTATTCAGTACTATTAAAATAAAAAATAAAAAATAAATTTAAAAAAAGAGCTATCAAGCCATGAAAAAACATAAAAGAAACTTAAATGCCTATTACCAAATGAAAGAAGTCAATATGAAAAAGCTATATACTTTATGATTCCAATTATATGACATTCCAGAAAAGGCAAAACCATGTGACACAGTAAAAAATCAGGGGCTGCCCAGGGTTCAGAGAGAGAGAAGGATGAATAGGTGGGGCACAAGGGATTTTTAGGCAGTAATACTATTCTGTATATTGTACAGAATCTGACACTATAAAGGTGGACACAACCCGTTATAGGTTTGTAGAGATGGAATGTACCAACAAAATGTACAACACAAGGAATGAACTCTAATGCAAACTATTAACTTTAGTTAATAATAATGTAATCAACATCAGCTCATCAACTGTAACAAATACACTACACTAATGCAAGATGCTAATAATAGGGGATATTGCAAGGAGAAGGAGTGTGAGGGGCTATAAAGTAATTCTCTGTACATTCCACCCAATTTTTCTGTATAAAACTGCTCTAAAAAGTAGTCTATTTTTAAAAAATGACTGACAGATATAACATGCATAAATTTTAGATATGCTAAAATAAAAGTCAAATACAAAGAGTATAGATTTTATGATTCCATTTAGGAAGTTCAGTAAATGAATTAGAATTATATCTATCAACATGGATAGAGTACAAACAGAATGCTGAACAATAATAAAAAAAAAGGCAAATGCACACAAACACATAAAGTATGATGCTATTTATATGAAAATAATAGATGACAAATACTATAAATTTAAAAAATATGTAGTAAGACTGTAAAGTCATGCATGAGATTGTTAAACACTTAATGCAGGATATTGATTACTTCAGAGAACAGGGAGAATGAAATCTGAAAGATATAGAGAGGGCTCTAATAGGATCTATAATTTTCTTTGTTATGTTTTCAATAAAACTTTAAAA